CCTGGTTTGCTCCATCTGATATTCTGATTTTTTTTCCTCTTCTATTGCTACATGTGGTTGCTTATTTTCCTTCCTTTTATTAACTGAGTTCAACTTCCTTTTATTACCTACAAGTACCGTGGTAGCGATGAAGTGTTTTTTAGAAAAATTTGGAGAGCAGGGAGCAGCCTTTTTGCACTCCCTTTGCTGCAGCAGTTGTCAGAGAGCCCATTTAGCACTCTCCTGTGCGACAGCGCCTGCGTGAGCGCTCATGGCAGGCACTTCACTGAGCTCTCCTGGGATTTCTGCTGCCTTCAGAGACCCTTTTGTTAAAACAGTGAAATGTCACGGCCCCTTTAAAATGGTAAGTGCAGCTGAAGTGTAGAAAACAACAGCTTTAGATGAAACGCCCCTGGTACAAGTTCCTCGCTGGCACAACTGCAGGGTTTGCAGCTTGAGGCATCTGCTACATGGGCAGGGAGAAAGAATGTGAGGATGAGGAGGGCTGGGTACCACGAGGAGATACCTGTGATCCCGGAGTTTCAAAAGGGGAGGAGACATCCAACGGACACGCTCAAAACCAGGACACCTCCCTGTGTCTTGTGTTTTAACTTGTATTTTACACTGAATATGCCAGTACTACATCTTGCCTGTGCCACACCATAAATATTTGATGGCCCTTTCAGGTTAAGCTCCCCCATCTCAGAGAGACAGAAGCTATTCGCGCTGACATCTCTTTTCATCAGTGCCTGCAGTCTGGAGTTACCCATCTCTTTTTTTCTCCCTTTCAGCACCAAAGAAAGCTGCATTGGGCAAATATCTCCTGTGAGGGTGCAGTGACTCTAAGAGTAACCTGCAAATTCATAGCAAAACCAGCCAGGCTTTGTAGAAATGGGTGAGAAACGGCAGTAACAGAGCTGGGTTGGAGGAGGAGGAGGACGCAGGTGAGGTTTCTGAGTGATGGGGAGTACTCAGACTTATCAGGTATTCAATATTGCAAGTGAAGCACTGACCAGTCTCGCTGAGCTACCTTGTCCTTGGTTAGCACAGCCAGGTAGGCAGGGCTATCAAACATGCTTCTGAAAACGTGAAAATCAAACTAAATATGATTATTTATAATCTGCACTTCATTTAATTAGAAGATACTCAAGTGGACCTGATTGTATGGTGCTATCTCAGATCTAGATAAGCAGATCTTCTGCGTCATGTGTAAACAAGGCAACTCACAGGTCTTTTCTCCCGTGCAGATGATGTGCTGCCAATTTACGCATATCCACACCAAATGGGGAAATCCGTTACGGGAGGCTACGTGTACCGGGGTTGCGAGTCTCCGAACTTGAATGGCCTGTACATATTTGGTGATTTTATGAGTGGGTAAGTCAATATCTCACATTCTTGCTAAGCCGTACCCCATGCTGTACCTCCAGCGATACTACGCTACCTGCCAGTGCTCATGCGGACTTCAGGACGTGGTTTAGTGGCCATGGTGGGGTTGGGTTGACAGTTGGACTGGATGATCTTAGAGGGCTTTTCCAACCTTAATGACTCTGTGATTCTGTAACAGCTCAGGAAGTGCTGCCACTCACTGACTGCAAGTCCTGCGCAGAGCCTGACTGCTCCTTACAGCAGGCTCCTGTGGCGAGTTTTGTATCGCCTTTATTCCACGGTGCAGGAATGAAATCTTTGCATTCCAGCAGCCCTCGATGTGTCTGATTCACAACGTGCTAGGGGCAACGATAAGATCTTCATTTAAAGTGCTGGAAATGGTGTAAGAAATGCATCTGAATACAGCCCAAAAATACTCCACTCTGATGCAATGTTTGCAGACACTGAAGATATTGAAATAGTCTGATATCCATTAAGCCCTCCCTTATTGGTTTTTCCCTGTGCTTGCACTGCCCTTGAAAGACAAGGTGTTGCAGGGACATATAATATATTTGTCTTAATATTAACAGCCCTTTGTGTTTCAGAAGAGCTGCAGTTCCTATTGCAGCTCATGCGGGTAGGAGGCATTAAACATCGTTTCAGGTGTCCTTATTAATGTTCATAAATCATCTTCTTGGTCACGTTGTGAAGGTGGTTTTTGCCTTGCAGACGCCTGATGTCTCTGAAGGAGAATCGCGCCACCGGAGAGTGGCAGTACAGTGAAATCTGCATGGGGACGGGCCAAACGTGCATGTTCCCTGGGCTTATCAATAACTATTACCAATACATCATCTCCTTTGCTGAAGATGAAGCAGGTAATCTTTTAACTTCATGTTAAGCATTGGCAAAAGGCTGCCATAAATCCGTATTTTATTAGTATCAGCTGGGATTTCGCCTTGCATAGGACTGCAGTCTCAGTGGAGCTTTGCGTAGCTGTGTTTTTAAGACTGGAGACATTTTGCTTTCTAGAAAGGAGCTGCTGTAATTTGAAAAAGAGGAAATTAAAGAGTCCTGGTTGCTACTTTTATTTGTACAAGGGTATGGGTAAGTGCCCGGATCTGCAGCGGGGCAGGCAGAGCGTGCAGCTCCTGGATGGGAACTGGGATAGATTTTCCTGCAGATTATGGCAGGCGGGGATGTTGCACAAATGCAAGTTGTGTTGCGTATCATATAAATGCAGATTTTATTGTGTAAATGCAAATCATCCAAATTAAGTATTAGCTGAAAAGTTTGAGTTTGAAATTTTATCCTTATGGAGTTAAAATACACTTTATTTAATGGTTAATATTCATGGAAGTGCTGTGGAGGGAAGGAAAACTTCATTTAAATCTGCTTTCTGCCAAGTGCAGTACCAGGCTGGTAATTGCAGCCCTTGTTCACACATATGGGGAGCGGCGTCTCCCTCGTCCTGCACCCATGGGCAGAGCCTGTGCAAAATTGGGGGTGAAACGCTGCCACCTGCACTTTTCAAGCGTCCTTTGCGTAAGTATAATAGAGCTGGGTGGAAATTTGGGCTGGAGTCTGCTCTCAGAGGTATTATTCGCCTTGTGTTTGCTTTATTGTAATGGGAAGAAATCCGTTGATAGCAGTTTAGTGGGTTTTCTTTATCTGCAGTGAACAGGCTTCTCTTGCACCTTTTTGGTGTGCTGGAAATCTGTGGGTTTGTACAAGTTTCTCACACAGAAGTGTTTATGCAGTGGGGACACCTGTATTTTTGGCTCATTGCACAGCCATTATCAAGCCAGCAGCCCTATCCTCTGACAGCTGAATGTGTTGGGGACACTGAGGCACACGTGTGACACAGCCCGCGTTCCTCATGGCTGCCACGTCCGTATTTCTGCCCAGTATTTTCCAGGAAAAAGGTGGCATGTGGAGCACGCACCACTGCACTGCAAGAGGCAGTGCCAGGTGTTTCCCATCCTGCTGGGATCAAGGCTGCTTCTGGCCCGTGGTTAATGGAGCTCAGCAGAAAAAATGAAGAAAGCAGCCATGGGTGGCCAGAGGTGGCCAGAGGTGACCGGGGATGGCTGATTTCTGCCCTGGGAGCATCCGGAGAGGCTGGGTTGGAGCAAGGAGGAGGAGGAGAGGCTCAGCTGAAGCTGCCACTGAATGCCCACATCTTCCTTTGCTCACTCTGACCCCTCTGCTCCTTCCTCTCTTAGGATTCCCATAGGACACCCCAAGAAATCTGCCTTCCTTACTAGAAAGGTTTCTGTTGCCTGTTTTTCTTCCTTTTTTCCCTCTTCGAAATACTGAAAATTTATGTTTTCACCCATATCAGCTCTCTGATCCTTTCCATTGCACCGCTCAAGCACTTGAGCTGGCAAAAGAGAAAGGAGAGTGTTGGAGGGACACAGCAGAAAGAGAGAGATGGAAATGCAGTTAAGAGAAAAAACCATCAAATAAATGGTGATGGCCATGGTTTGGACGTGGTCGAGCCCTGTCCATGTGACCTGACAGAGCTGTGATGAACCAAAATGTCTTTCTTAGGAGATACATCTCACTTTGTGAGCATGCTAGGGAAAGGAAAAGCAAAATCTTGTTCTGTAGTTCACCCCAAAGGAGTGCTTCATCCTGAAGAGCAGGAGACTGTGAACAGTCTTAATTTCCTCTCATCTCATTTTGATAAGGGGAATTCAGGGTTTGACTGGTTTGCATTAGTTAAAGGACAAGGATCAGACTGAGATGGCAGCTGAAGTCTGGGCAGCTGCACCTGCAGTGGAAATAAGTGAAATAATAATGGAATAATTGAAATACTAATGGAAATAAGGGACAACAAGTGAAAGCTCCCACCAACTAAGAATATTTTCTGGCACTAGACTATGAGTGCTCCTTACAAACCCAAATACAAACCTACCTTGTTTCTTCCAGTAGCCTGATCTCCATGTACCCTCATGTCCTGATGCTTTCTGACCTGTGAGCAGAGTTGATGTCTTTGTGCAGTTGGGACAGAAGCTCCACTGAATGTTTTCAGGGCTGTGCTTGGGTCTTTTTTTGCAGGGGAACTTTACTTCATGTCTACCGGCGTCCCCAGTGCCACGGCTCCCCATGGAGTGGTGTACAAAGTGGTGGACACCTCAAGGTATGAGATGCTCTGGTTGCAAAGCCTGCGCGTGGTGCGGTGCATCCAGGTGTGGATGTGATCTGCTGCCTGGTGATTCACTGCTTGAATGTCAAAAAGGACATTCATTTTTGTGTTTTAAAGAGGAAAACAGCTCAGACAAGGAAACAAGGCCAGTGCTACACCTTCTGGATCCCCTATGCACGTATCTGAGGCTGGGCAAGGCAGGGAATTTTTGTTATATGGGAAGACTTAGAGCTGTTTTTTCCATCTTCCTGTTTTTGAAGCGTCACTATTATTGGCTAAACACCAAATTACTTTCAGCCAGATGTGTAGACTGAGACTTTTGTAGCTTTTATTGTTTTTTAAAGGGATTAAATTGACAGTTTCAGCTGTCTGAGCATTGTGAACCAAACCACTTCTCTGTTTTACGTTGGAACCAGAGCCCAAAGTTAAACAGCCCCCCCAGAGCTGCCGCCTGTTTTGCTCCAACTCTCCTCCGTCAGGAGCTTTTTCCATTAGCTAACACAGTGGAAGAGTTCCTGTAAACCGTGTATGAGGAGGCTGGTATTACGCAACCTTTGCAAAAATAAAGCAAGCAGAAGTCAAAAGGAAGTCATGAGTTTTTAAGTTTGACAAGAAGTTTCTGTAGCACATAGAGTACAGAAAAATCTCACTGGAAAATTCATAGAAGTGGGGAATATCCCTGTGGTGGGAGTTAAGAGAGGAGCTCTTTGCCTTTCACAGCAATCCAAATGCAAACAATGTTAATTATAAAGGAGTGATACCCTCCCCATGCATTTTTGAACCAGTTTGAAAACCTCTGAAGATGGCTGCGGGTAAACAAGCCAGCCGTCTCGAGGGAAAAAGTGATGATGAGCTGGATGTAACCTCTCAGAAGTGAGATATACCTCCACGGCAAACAAATTTCTGTCAAAATCATGCGTCATACTGAGAGAGCGCCTCTGTAAGAAACACCTAGAGCTCTGGTTTGAAATTAATGCCTTTTTGGTACTACTTTTGTAGCAGTTAGTCTTTTGTTTTGGCTTTACGTATGAATAATAGTGTGTTATTTTGCATCTCTAAAGACAGCCTGAAGACTTGCATACCCATGACCTTTATGTCAGAGTTCAACATACACTGTCTAGTTTTGTGATTCTTATTTTCAGTTTGATTAATCTCTTTCTGTATTGCTGGAACCTCCCAGTGTTTTATTTCCTTACTGGATTCAGCAATGGCAAGTGAAAACAGAGCCAGAGACTCCACTGCCTTGTGAATATTTGGACTTTGATCAACAGAGATCTGTGATTGTTTAATGCTGTTTTCTACTGTAAGAGATTACTTGGGTCATTTAAACAGACGTTTATTCTTTTCCCAATGAGCATTACATTCATTGAAGAATAATGGGAAGCAAAGGCTCACAATGCCAAGGGAAAGGAATTAATTGTGCGCCGTATGTGCCCCTTCTTTCTCAGGAGAGCACCACCAGGAAAATGCCGAGTTGAGCCATCGCCAGTGCAAGTCAAGAGCAAACTCATCCCATTCGTGCCAAAGGAGAGTAAGTGTTGCTGGTGCTGTTCATCTCTGGCAGCAAATACAGACTCCAGGCTCACGCTATCTCTTCCCTCTTCAGAATATCCCTAACATTAATTCTTACCAGCTGTTTGGGATCTGAAGAGTTGGCTCAAATAAGGGATAATGTATTTCCCCTCTCCTAGCCATATGAAATCTCCTCTGTAGTTTCAGTCCTTGTACATTTTCCCTTCTCAGTGCTGCCTGTTTCATTACCACCAACCTGTTTCTCCCAGAACTGTTTCTGTACTGAAACCCTGCGCTCAATGGTGCTTTTCAGGGATAAGTGATTTTTTGAAGTGCCTTCAGGTAGTGAGGAGCACATCAGGAGCTGACAGATCTGATGGCTAAAGAGCTGGGAAATGGCTCATTGAGCAAGATGAGGGCTGAGTCATTGGTAGTTGTCAGTGAGAGGATATGGGATGAGAAAAAGCATCTGCTTGATCTGCCATTCAGGTGAATTTTTGGCTTATCCAAACCCTCCAGGGCTGTTTGATTGCTTCATACTGAATGAAGTATTGTACTGCTAAAGCTGGAGGAGTCAGCGATGTAGCTGCATCTGCAGCAAGCCACGTACTATTGATGTTAAGTGCAAAAGCCTAAATACACCATTAGGATCTCAAAATCAGATTAGGCAGCATCACCTTTCTTCTCCCCTGTGCATTTTGTTTACACATGTAAGTACCTAGGCAGCACTCCAACAACTTTGTCATGAAGTTAATATTACTCTAGGAACTCTAGCGTCAGAATACTCTAATTTTTAATTACGTTAATTGTGTTACACTGCATTTGAGTCAGGGACGGTTCCTACAGCTTTGACTTCAGGGAGGAATGAGGGCACTCAGCACCTTGCAAGATTGAGTCGTTAAGGTGGAACAAGATCCAAGGCTAATTATTAACTGTTGACATGGCTGAGCACTCAGCACCTCTTCAGAATCGTTCTCCTTTGCAAGCTGTGCACGCAGTTTCCAAACATCAGTAACTCAGTTTGTGTTCAGCCAGCTTTGCCTCTCTTTCTGCTTATGCATGATTCTCTCTGCAAGTCCAAAGTTCAGGTTTTTAAACTACATACATAACTAAATCTTCTGGGTTTGTTTACAAGGTAGATTTCACCATAAAATAAAACAAAACCAGTGGGAGAGATTCTACTGGGTTTCTCAAGAACTGAATTATGTGTCGGTGAAAACCAAGCATGAAGATTTTGCTTTAGAAGCATGCAAACAGGACGTGTGGCTGTAAATATTTTGCTGTTTTGGTTAGTGTTTAGTGTGAATGTAACAATCACCAAGGCATGCGGCTTGCGTTAGCTGGATGAGTGCATTTATTGGAACTGAATTTAATAAATAGCTTGACAAAGAGTAACGTATAATAACAACTGGATTCAGTGAGGTGAAAAGCACTCCCAGGTGTCCATTCGCTTTCATGCAGTCCCACAAATCATTATATGAGTCCCAGGATTTTTGGGATCAAGGTCCAACAACTGAGGTGTGCACAGGTAAGGCTTTCACATTTATTCTTGCCTTCAGAACCTCAGCTACCAAAGATGGGAATATTTTCATGCCACAAGTATAGTTCCTTTCCAAAAAGTGTTATTTGGAAAAAAAACTGGACCCCTGCAAGGGTTTGTCTCTTGGGGACAATAGATATGAAGTGCAAATAAGACAGTCATAGTTTTCCCAATCTCCGTACTACAAAGCAAATGATGAATGAGAATGGATGCATCTAGGAAACAATTCAGAAAGTCGCGATGTCTTTGCAAATGGATGTGATGCCGTCCCAGCTCGGTAGATTGTTATTCTGAGTAATTCTGGATTGCTTCCTTCTGACAAGCTAAAACTTATTTTCAAGCTAAAAATAGAGTGCATGTGAATAAGTGAGTCCAGCAACGCCTGGAAACTGTGACAGCAAAGAATTTTCAGCTCTTCAGAGTTCAAGGCTCTTTTATTTTTAATTCGTAAGGAAGAAAAAAATCCAACGCCAAATCCTGTTTTATGTGTTGTCCTGGCAACTCCGTTCCTTTGGCACATTCCAGTTGCCAGAGAGAATTGATTTTGAATGTTACTGATTCCAGCTCCTCTGAATAAAGCATCTGGCCCAGTGGGGAGGCCGCTCTCTCTCTGGTAAGGATCCAATCATTAGTAATGAAGAGAAGAGCAGAAATAGTGCCCCTCTTTAAATTCTTTCAGTGGAGGAGAAGGGTATGGTGGGGAACTCCTCTTCTGAAACTCCTGCGCCCACCCTTTAATGGCCAGACTGGGATTTTGCCAATAAAACTGCTTGGAGTTTCTCTCTTGGGTGAGCCTCGCTTGCTGGCATCGAGCCCCGCAGTCCTCTCTGCTAACTAAAAGCAGCCGACGTTTTTCACTGAGGGAGTATTGGCTCACAGGGAGCGTTGTCGCTTCTCAACAGGATCAAGTAAGCAAGTGCCAAGAAAAAAGTTAAGTAAGTCAAAAATTACAGAATCACAGAGTCATTAAGGTTTGAAAAGCCCTCTAAGATCATCCAGACCAACGTCAACCCAACCCCACCATGGCCACTAAACCATGGCCCCAAGTGCCACATCCACACGGTTTGTGAACCAAAAAGGGGGGGGCCCCCCCCCCCTGCCCGGGCCACCCCCTGCCAGTGCTTGGCCACTCTTTCAGTAAAGAAATTATTCCTAATATCCAACCTAACCCTCTCCTGGCACAACTTGAGGCCATGAAGGTGCTGGTTTTGTATAGTTGTCTTTAAGTAGTGTCTGTGGAGTGACACACTCATGGTTTCCTGGGTTTTTCCCCCAACAGAGCTTATTGTGAAAACAACAACGCCACGTCCCCGGCTGAAGGCCACAACCACGGCCCCACGGAGAGGCAGGCCAGGCCTCCAAACCCCCCGCACACCCTCTGTGGACTGGGTGGACCAAGTCCCGCCGCCACCGGGGAACCGAAGCAGGACGCCCACCACCCCAGCGCCGAGCGGCCGGGCCTCCAGGCCCAGGAAGGGAGGAGAGAGGAAGGGGCAGCGCAAGAAGAAGAAACCCCCCGGCACAGCCCCACCGCTGCGAAATGGCGCCGTGAGGCTGATGGATCGGCGACCGGAGCCGCGGCCGGGTGGAGATTTATATCGACGGCGAATGGGGCACGGTGTGCGACGATGGCTGGAGCTCGCTCGGTGCCGCCGTGGTGTGCCGCCAGCTGGGCTTCCCCCACGTGGTGCGGGCCAGCAAGAAGGCAGAATTTGGGGAAGGGACCTCCCTTCGCATTCTCCTGGATGACGTCCAGTGCTCCGGGCAGGAGCAGACGCTGCTGGAGTGCTCCCACGCCGACGTCGGCACGCACAACTGCTCCCACGAGGAGGACGCCGGCGTGGTGTGCAGCCGGGAGGAGGTGGCAGAGTGGTGACAGAGGAGTTTGGGAAGGCACCTGAGGGACTCCAGAGCATCTAAACCAGCATCGGTGCTGGGAATGGTGTGCTCTGCCTTGAGGATGCTGCGTCTGTGCAAAGGGATTTTGCAGTTTTCATCCCTGTCCTTCTGCCTTGGAGGGGCAGAAAAAGCAAAACAAAGCAGAGTTGAGTATGTCGTGGGCAGGGACCGCGTTTGTACGGTGTTTTTTTATAGGAAGAGAGCCCCAAACATCAGCCATTGCAGATTAGAACAAAGATGCATCCTCTTACTCTTTCACTTTTCAAAGTACAACATTCCCAGCTGTGCTTCACAGTGTTTTGCCAAAAAAAACCAACTCCCAAATGACCATGTTTCTCTTTTATGGAAACATTTGCATTGTTTGCCTTGCTTTGCCACCTGCAGCACCGAGTGGTGGCTTCTAAGTGTGCCCAAATCTGTGCCTTTCTTTGCTGAAGGCAAAAGTCGAATTTCTGGTTAACTTCCCATGCACTAGTTTAAAGGGAAGTTATTCTGCTGTAGTGCTTCGTACTGATACAAGCCTATAGGTTCTCCAGGATAACTGCGTCTAAGCAACAGTCAGGTAAACTAGAAAAAACCATAGCATAATGTCTGTAAAACACTGCAGTTTACACTAAGCTAAGGGAAGAGAACATTTGGCCTCTTTCCTCTGAGGTTTAACCCTGAAGATACTTTGTTCATGTTTCTCCATTTCCCCACATACTTTAAAGCCACGTGTTTTCGCATTCAGTTGTCACCGGTGTGAACGATTAGACAAGAGGCAATGAACTGGGGCAATAATCCTGTAATATAATAACAACAGAGTAGTAAACCCCCTCTTTTTAAAGGATATTAAAAAGACCAGAACTCATTTTGTCTGCAGTGTGTTTTTCACCGGAGTGCTGATTGCAGACACATGTTCTCCCTTGGAGTTTCTCTGTATTTGATGGCATTTTGCCTGGTAATTTTTTTTTTCCCCATGTAATCAGCATAGATTTTTATCTTGCTGCTCACACAGAAACATGAGAAATACAAAACCAAACAATATATAATGATTAGTGCATCCAGAAAGGTTCACAAGTAAATCCTTGTATTTAAAGCTCTTACTGCGGGTATTTATTTTAATTCCCCAATTTCAAGTTGGCAGTGTCCTCTTAAATCTAAAACACTGATGTATAGGGTAAAAGTATTTGTTTAAATCTTTTTTCCTGGACTTTCTGATATACCCATTAAATACTATTTGATGTTAAAGAAGACCTTTACTATACAAAAGCAGATGATCAGAAAAGTAGCAGTTTCCCTAGTCCTTATTAAGTATAAAGAGGAGAACAGATGTATAAAGTGCCTTTTGCAAAATGCTTTCATTAGAAAACCTACAAATGCATCAGGAACCAAAGCAGCATTAGGCGCTCTCCATTGCAGTGAAGGTGCAAATGCATTTGTTTTAAGTGTAGAAATTCCCTTCAGGCACATGAAAACACTCGGGGAACAAGAGAGTCCTTTGTAAGTTCTTCTGTTAAAAGAGTTGGCACCTGTTGAGCTGCTGGGAATGAGAGGGCTGGAAGAAAACAGCAAGTGGAGATACGCTCTTTCTTCTTCCAAATTCCTCTTCCGCTTCTTTTGGCTCCTTAGCCAACTTTCAGCTAGGTCTAGCGGTGAGATTTTAACATGAATTTTCATTGTAGATATGCTTTAAAACTTCTGGTTAGAAAAAAGGCCTGTGTAAAAAAATTAAAGACATTGAGATGTTTCGAGGATGTCTGCCATAGACCAATCAGACAGGAATTTCACCATCATTTTCAAGATATTTAAATACTCTTTTTCTAATTTAACTCTTTCTTACCCTACACCTGCTTTAGCACATTTGAGCACAAGCAGAGGCCACCTACACCTTGCGTATCACTGACAGTGACTGCCAGGCAGGCTCTGGTGACAGCTCAAGGCGTGTGGAAATTCAGTAGGAGCGAGCTGTGCCACGGGTGCCACCAGCTTCCCAGGGGAAATATTTATGAGCAGAGGAGGAGACAAGACTGGAAAATAAGGGGTTTTCTCCCCCCCTACATTCACAGAATCACAGAATCACAGAATGTGAGGAGTTGGAAGGGCCCTGGAAAGCTCCCCCAGTGCAACCCCTGCCAGAGCAGGATCACCAGAGCAGTCACACAGGAACACGGCCAGGGCTTTGGGTGTCTCCACACAAGGAGACTCCACAACCTCTCTGGGCAGCCTGGGCCATGCTCTGCCACCCTCACACTCACAAAGTTTGTCCTCATCTTCAGCTTGAACCTCCTGTGCTCCAGCTTGGGACCATTGCCCCTTGTCCTGGCATTGGCCATCCCAGAGCAGAGCCTGGCTCCTTCCTCCTGACACTGCCCTTTCCAAATTTATAAACATTAATGAGTACATTCAAGTAGGTGCATGCCAGGTCAGTACACATGGATGTGTGTGTGTGTGTGTGTGTGTGTGTGTGTGTGTGTGCCTGCCAGCTTGGTGTGTTGGGGAGATATTTCTGACCATTCTGGTCCCTTCTAAGCTTAAAACATTTCTACTCTAAATCCTGGTATTTGTCAGGCTACTTCCCTGGTATTTAAATAAGGAGCTTGTAGTATTCAAAGCACTGAAGTACATGTGCATTTAAATAACCTGATGTAGCATCTGCTGTTTAATAGGATTCTTACTGATAGCATTTTTCTTAATTTAGAAATGCATTTATATGCCAGGACGTCACACAGATTGAGCTTTAGATAAACTGATACGCCCTGCTACTGCATTTGGACATGCCAGCGTACCACCTGGATGCTGATTCAGGATAAAGGATAAAGGATAAAGGATAAAGCCTGCTTTTCCTCCCCGAAAGATGCCAAGAGACATCCTCAAAAGGTCAGCTTGGCATGCGAGGTGCATTGGCCCCGTTAGATACTTTCAGACATAAGCACACAGTTTTTTTCTATATGAAAAGGGGTGTAAGCATCATTTGATAACTAACAAACAACTGCATCCTAAATTTAAGCTTTAAGACTTCATAGTTTTTCCTCTGTTAAATGAATACGACCTCAAACACACCTGACGTGCATCAATACCTTGCTACCTTGTACATGATTTTGCCAAGGTTTTCATGTGCAGGCTTTACCCTGGGGCACAGGAGCAGCTAAAGAGCTGCCTTGAGCAATGTTTTAATGTAGTCAGAAAAGTCCCTGTGATGGAAACAGCAATCATTCCTTGACAGTGATGTGGCAAATAGGTATAAGGATAGGGATGCTATTTTTAAGGGAAAAAAATATATATTTCTAGTGTCCAGCCAGCTGTAAGCACCTTCTTCTTCTTCTTCTTCTTCTTATTATTATTATTATTAACCAGCTTACCAATTACTTGCCCACTCCATGCTGAAAAATCTTGTTGACCAAGGAGGGTCTTTCTTCTTCCAGTCCTTACAGACCCCAGTATACATGAGCTTTATTGGGGTTTTTTTGTACTCACTTTTGAACAGAAGTTACATTTTTATTTTAATTTTATTAATAACTGGATTTAAAATAGGGTCATGTATTGAATTGTGCTGGTAACACAATTTAAATCCACATTTAAGTTGTAGTAGTATTTAAATTTTGTAGCATTAGTTATAATATTGCAATTTGGTTGATATCAGGAAAAAACCCAAATGTTTACATTAAATTATGCATTTTATTTTCTTCCTTTGAGCTGGAGTGTGAATGAATGTAACCACAAGCACACAGCAGTAAATACCTCCCTGTACCTGCGAATGACCAGTAGCAGAGAAGCCATCACTACTTAGTGGGAGGGAGGAGAAGGTAAATATCTCTGGTATATTTGCTAAAAAATTCTGTATGGTCTTTAAACAAGTTCATCTGCCTCACTGCTTTTCACATTGGCTGTTAGAGTAGAAAACAAGGGCGATCAGATATTATTACCTGGCTGTTACAAGAAGAACACGGTGGGTTTTGGAGGTACATTTCAATGAATATTTTGAAATCTGGTTACATTTGGCTCCCAGTTGTGCTCTGAGCTGGGTAACGGTCTGCTGGCATCGAGATGTTCATATCCTGGGGTCAAATACATGCAAATATGAATTTGTCTGTGCTCTCAGGCTATGGTAGATTCAATGATAAACTGAGATGCAGTCATGCAGCAAGAAAGCTTGAAAATATACATTTTCTGTTCTGAATTTACCAATCCCTGCAGCAGAGAACTCTTCTCTTTTGCACTATTAAAAGCAAATAATTCATTACCACAATATAGTGACTCCATGAGATGATCAAATGGAGGAAGGTGAAGGCGCAGCGTGTACAGACACAGCAAACTGGGACACTGTGGCAGAGCCGAGCAAAAGGACCAAATACCCCAAAACAGCAGTCAGTCTGTGGATCCCACCAGGACAGTGTTTCTGCCCAGGGAAGGAGGAGATGCCTGGTAAAACGAGTCCTGAACGTTGCATTTCTGCTGGAGATGGAAGAAACGCGGCGCTCACGCCAGCCCCAGACCCCCACGAGCTCCATATGGACCTTCAGGCAGGGGGTGTGAGGTCTTCGATTGCAAATTCTCCAGGGGAGGTACCAATTTAATCAACATCTGCACTTAACCAGCAGCACACAACAGATGGAGACGTTTAACAATAAAATTAAAAGCTCTTTATTTAGAAAGGTATTTTATTGGTAAATTCAGGTTGCCCCAGGATACCCAGCCCTCTTGGCTAACTGTGTGCTGCAGTATGAGAGATGCTGTGCCTTCTCCTTGCTGCCCTCACAGCCTATATGACACCTCTGGAGAGAAAGCAGTAAATGTTTTCAGACCTAAATAGCGATGAAAAGACAAGAAAAAGAGAGCAGGAGTTTGGATTAACCTTGTCTTGCATCAAGTTTTCAAATTCACCTTGCAGCTTCACACCAGTTAACGGTTCCCAGCTCTCTGTTCGGTTCCCAGGTCTCTCTCGCTCTTTGCATTTATGGGAAGGTGCAAGTTGGCAAAACGTCCACGCGATGGCAG